GATGGATGGATGGATGGATGGATGGATGGATGGATGGATGGATGGGTGGGTGGATGGATGGAGAGATGAATGGAGGGATGGGGAGATGGAGAGGTGGATGGGTGGGTGGGTGCATTGATGAATGTGTGGGTGGATAATAGATGATGGTGGATGGGTGGATGATAAATAATGGACTAGAGATGATGGATGGATGGTGGATGATGGATGATGGATGGGTGTGGAGGGTGGATGGATGTGTGGCTGTGTGGCTGGCTGGCTGGATGGATAGATAGGTGGATGGGTGGATGGATGGATGTGTGGATGGATGATGATTGAATGGATGAAGGATGGATGGATGGATGAATGGATGGATGATGGATGGATGGTTGGGTGGGTAGATGGATGGAGAGATGAAAGGAGGGATGGGGAGATGGAGAGGTGGATGGGTGGGTGGGTGGATTGATGAATGTGTGGGTGGATGATAGGTGATGGTGGATGGATGGATGATAATGAACTAGAGATGATGGGTGGATGGATGGATGGATGGATGAGTGGAAGGGTGGATGGGTGGAGGGATGGGTGGGTGGAAGGATGGGTGGATGGATCAATGGATGGATGATGGATGGATGGATGGATGGATGGGGCAAGGGATGGATGGGTGGATGAAAAATCATGGTGGATAGATGGATGATAAATAATGGACTAGAGGTGATGGATGGATGGATGGATGAGTGGAAGGGAGGATGAATGATGGACGGGTGGATGGAGAGATGGTTGGATGATGGATGAATGATGTTGATATTCTGAAAGGGAATGGGCAAATGTGCATATACAAATACTGACACAGTGTCCTCCCTCCCAATCTGTTCTTTCTGACTGCCCCATCCCTGGGAAGTCTCTCAGCCTCCTGGGCCCAGATTGAGCTGCCGCCATGTCCTCATTACATCTGCTCCTCCTCTCCTGCCACCACCTCTGCACATCGAGCCATGTGGTCTCCTGCCTGCACCGGCCCCCTCACTTCTCTGCCCTCAGGCTTCCTCCATGCCGGCTGCAGGTCTCATAGCTCTGAGCACATCTTCCCTCTGTCTCCCACATCATGAAATGCAAACCCCTCACGTGGTTGCCCCATCCCTCACTGCATGGCTTCAGTCTGCCTTTCCAGGACTCTCTTCTGCTCCCCACAGAGGATGGGGGCCTTGCTGTTCCCCCCAAATTGCCCTACTCTCCCTTCTTAGTGCTTTTTTTCCCATCTGGAACACATGTCCCCTCACCCATCCTTCAAGGCCATTTGACAATGCCACTTCATCTCTGAGGTATTCCTCACCTGACCCCAACCTCAGCCCTAACCGGGAACGAAGCTTTCTTTTTCCGAAACGCTGTGCTGCTTGCTCTGTCTTGCACGCATCCTCTGTCCACCCTCCCATTCCTCCGACATCCTTAGGCCCCTATGTTGGCCAGCCCTGCCTTGGGCACTGGTGACAACAAATGAAGGAAGGGACAGGTCTGGTGGGTGGGGTGGACAGCCATGACTGGGGCAGGGTGTCTGTGATGGGAAGGGGGCTCAGCCAGAGGGAGCCAGGGGTGTCTTTGCAGAAGAGGGACCCGGGTCTCACCAAAGCCCTCGGGCTGAAGGAGCTGCACATTGCCAACTGAGGTGTGCTCACAGATGGGGGGGCAGGGGGCACTTGGTGAGCCCAGGAAAGGGTTCAGATAGGTCTTGAGGGGCCTTGAATGAAACAATGAGGAGTCTGGTCTTCATGCAGCCAACAGCGGGGGCCAGTGGTAGCTATGAGCAGCCCGTGTAGACTGCATGAGAGGAGAATTAACGCTCTGTCTCTGCTTTGCCCGGACACTAGGCTAAGCTAAATACAATCTGTGCACTGCAGACCCAGCCTGCTTGGAACTGCACTGACCGGCATGGCTGGAGGGGCCGGACAGGTGGCTCGAAGGGTAGGAAAGCACACAGGGCAGGCAGAGGCAATGTTTACTTCCCACCCACGGATGCCAGCCTCTGCCCTGCCTGCCCATGTGTGCTTACGTGAATGTTGCTTTGTTTGATTTGTTTTGTCAGTGATGAAAGGATGGGCTCAGTGAGGCATCTCAACAGCTCACTGCTCTTAAGAGACCACGCTGGGAGTCTCGCCAAGGCCTCCTGACCCCAAGCCTGCCAGGTGCCCTTGGAAGTGCCACTGGCTGGCTGCGAATGGTGTGGGTGCAGCAGGCCAGGAGACGTGCAGCTGGATAGACAGATGGATGAATTCGCAGACGCGGGAGGCCTGGCCAGCCAGTTCCATCCTCCCCTCTGCCCAGCACAAGGGCAGCTCACCTTGCACACCCCCTCCCAGGTGAGCCCCAAGCCCTTCCGCCCTCGCTGCCCCCAAGGAAGAACACCAGCGTGGAGGCGCCCTGAGCTCCCTTCTGCCCCTCAGAAGCACCAACTCCTACCCACCCCCACCCCAGCACAAGTCTTGAACCACTCAGAAGCCCATGACCTACCTACAACCCACGCCAGATGGGCCCGCCCCGAGCCAGCCGGCTGCCCACAGCCGGGCCAAGCGGAGGACGGGATGTTTCCGGACAGGAGCCCATGCAGCCGGACCCATGTCCACAGGCCACTGGCAGGGCACAGCAAGAGGGCACCAGAGGAGGCAGAGCCCCACCAGCTGCCCAGGCCACTGTGCCCTCTGCTCGGCACTGGCCTGGTGGAGCCAGAGCTGACATTGGCCTGGGAGTCTCCACCCCCAGCTCCTAGGGCCCCCTTCGCCTTGTTCGCTCTGCTGCTTACACACACACACACACACACACACACACACACACACACCACTCACACACATGCATGCTTATGCACTCACACACCGACACACGTAATGACACAAACACACTCATGCATACCATTGATACAATTATACTCATGCAAACTTACACCTACATACCCCCAGCATACACACACTCAGTACGTTCACATATGTGCACACACACACGCACGCTCCCAAATATATGCACACTTGTGCACTCACACATCCATGCATGCAGTTATAGACATGCACATGCACGCCTACACTCGGGTACCTGCACACATGCCCGTGCCCAGACGCGGGCACACACACACACACTTGTACACTTGCACACTCATGCTTATATGCACATGCACACTCACGCCTATATGCGCGCACACACTTTACACACATGCGCACACTCACACAGCACAGTCCCCGTATGTTGGAGCTTAGGGCTGAGGGGCAGTAGGTGATGGTGAGGCAGGAGGATGGGACAGCCAGGGGTCGGGCGTGTGGTGCCAGGGGCAGGGGTGGGGCTCAGTGCTCAAAGATGCACAGAGGCAGAACTGTCTGAGAGTACTTCCTCCTGGGCCAGCCTCTCTGGCCTGGCCCCCACCCCCCCAGTCCCCCTGTTCCACCCCTATCCCACCCCACTGCCCCCACCTTGCCCGGCAGCTGCAATCAGTGAAATGCGCCTGGCCTTGGGCACTCAAATCTGGGAAAAGTGATGATCTGGCCAGACGTGAGTGAGCCAAGCACTTCCGGAATGACAGGGAGGTGGGGTGAGCGGCGGGGGGTGGAATGGACCCCTATTCCTGCTGGCTGGGCTCCAAAAGCCCAGGGCTTTTCTGTCCTCACACATCTGCACGGGTCTCTCAACCCCAAATTGAGTGCTCACAGCCTCCGTCCTGCAATCTCCACTTTCCCTTGGTGAATGGGGTCCTGTCCACGTGGTGCCCACTCTGCTCCTGGCCGGCTCCTCTCACAGCGGCAAGGGGCTTCTGGAGGCTGTACCCGCTCAGGATGTGGGCTCAGGGGTGTATGGGACATGCTCACAGCACTCTGCCCCTGGCTCCCGGTCACCCGGGACAGACTGCCTAGAAGCCGTGTGTAAGAGGAGAGGCTGAGGGCAGTGACTGGTGACCAGAGCCCCCGTCTGGTCTGCGTGGCCTCCCCCGAGTACCTGCCTGGCGGGGGGCTCGGACAAGGTCTCCAGCGGTCCCTGACTTCACCCTGCTCCTGTCAGCAGGGGAAGGACTCCAGGGCCTGTGCATCTCCGTGCCGGCTCCCTCCGTCATATGTCTAGGGGTAGCTGTGTCCAGATCTGATTCCTACATCCACACCCAGAGGACAGGACCCTGAGCCCTGGGCCCCTGTCCCGTGGACTAAGCCGGCTGTGCAGAGAACCTCAGCCTGAGGACCCCGAGCCCTGTCAAGACACCCTGGAAGCGTCCCAGCTCAGGACAGGGAGGGCGGCACAGAGCTCGCTAGCAACCCCTCTTGTCCCCAGTGTCCTAGTCCTCAGCCCCCCGCCCCCCGCGGCTGCCCCTGCCACACCCGTGGCTTCTCTGAGAGGGACGGACAGAGTGGTGCAGCCAGGGACCTGCCATGTGCCCATCCCGCCCCGCGCCCCGCCGCCCGCCCCGCCGGCCGCTCACTTTCAGGGAGTAGGCCAGAGCGATGAAACCCAGGCAGCAGAAGTTGAGGTAGACGAAGTTGAAGATGGACCACAGGTAGTAGTCATTCACCTCGCTGGTGTCCGGGTAGACCTCGACGACCGTCGTGGGGTTCGTCATCGTCTTCTTCTCCACGAGGTGCTTGCAGGCCTGGGGGGCGCCGGCAGTCCGCACGCTGTCCGTCTTGCCGCTCTTGGACTCCACAGGGAACAGAGTGGGTGCCATGGGGGGCGAGGCCGAGGGCTCAGGGGCCGGGGCCGCCGGCGCCTGCAGGGCAGGGGGCTTGGACACGCAGGCGAAGCAGCCTTTGGGAGAACCTGCCGGGGGCCTGGGAGTCCAGAAGGCTCCGTCCAGGGGCACTCGGGCTTCCTGGGCGCCGGCCGTGGTGCTGGCCGGAGCTCCCAGCAGGGCTGGGCACTGGCCGGGGCCCTGGGCCTGGGCCTGCGGGAAGGAAAGAGGAGGAATGAACTGGGTCCGGCCAGCCCTGTAGCGCCCACCCTGGCACCCCGTCGTGTCTCTCCTGCAGCCCATAAGCAGCCCCGAAGGAGATGGAACTCCCCGCCGAGGCAGCCAGCTGCCAGCCTGCCACCTGCCTCCCCCGCCCGTCCCAGCCACTGCCATGCCAAAGTCCTTCACAGCAGCCTTGGCACAAACATTGGGGGCTTTTCATTGCTTTGCCATCTGCGCGCAAACATTCACCCACTGACACACAACAGCAACACCCCCCCCCCCATGCACACACACACACCCAACAAGGCCCCGACTGACGCTGTTGCAATAAACAGAGCACGCCAGCACCCCAAACACCCCAGCACGCACACACAGGGCAGCAGACCCACAATAACACTGCCTCAGCCACTCTCTGGCAAGGCCACCGGAGCTGTCTGGAGCACCTGCAGTCTGACATCCACTGACACATCAGACACAAACGCCAGCACCATCACCGGTTCTCCAGACCCCAGGCACACCCCCGGTACTCAGGGATGCCGCCAGGTAAACAGCTCTGCACTGTGACACGCAGCGCGGACACACACACAACACAGGCTGACACAATCGCCCAAGGATGAACACGGCGGCTGCGGAGGCTCCAAACTCGCGCGCAACGCCCCCGCCCCCAGCCTTGGCTCAAAGCGGCGCCCAGGACCCCAAGCGCGCGCACCGGGCGCTCGCAGGAAGCCACCCACCCCGTGCCACAAACAGACGCACAATGACACTCTGTTAAACGAACGCATCTCCAAAGAGGCACCAAGGCCCCGGCGCCCTGCGCCACCCCGGGGGGGTCTGCGGCCGAGGCCCCGCGGCCCCCAGCCCGACCCAGTCTGCCGCAGCCCCCGGACGGCGCGCCCTCACCTACGGGCGACTCTTGGGCGGGAGGGCCCGACCCCTGCGCTCCGTCCGCGCGTCCTTCCACCGTCCAGCGGGGCCGCTGTCTGATCGGCGGCTCCGCGACCCAGCGGCCCAACCTCGGTGCGGGGAGCACGCGGGGCGGCGGGCGGGGAGGGCGCAGGGCTGGCGGCGATGCCTCCCCCGCTGCCTGCGCTCCCTCCGCAGCGCCAGCCCGGCCGCGCGGCTGCAGCCCAAGCCTGACTCACGGCGGCGGCGGGCGCAGCCACCTCCCCGCCTCCTGCAGCCAGCAGGGTGGGGGCCACGGCGCAGGCCGGAAGCCGGACCCTCAGGGGTGGCCAGGGATGGGACCCCACAGAGCCGGGCTCGGGACGCACGCCAGGCGTCTCCCGGATCCCAGTTCACTCCCTGACCCCTCCCTCTCCATGAGCCCCCAGCCCCTGTCTCAGCTGGTGGTCCCCTGAGCCCTCCCAGCTGTGTCCCCAGAGAGCCCTTCTTCCCGTGCCTGTGCACCCCTGCCCCCAGCCAAGCCCCTCGCACGCCCAGAACCTTCCTGAGTCTCTGACCCCTCGCAGTCCCCAGCCCCCCAACTGCAGTCCCTCTCTGGGCAGGGTCCCTCACCAGCACACCCCGAGTGTCCACATCTGCACCATCCTGTCCCTAACCCAGCCCCTGAGGCCACCCGCACAGCACCATCCTCCTGAACCCTCCAAGTCCAGGCCTCAGCTGGGCCTCAGTGGCCCCCACATGGCCCTGGCCTTTCTGATCCCACCCTTGTCAGGGCTCCTTTCCCCAAATCTGACCCCCACACACCTGGCCTGGAGCCCCTGAACCCCACCCTTGCTGATCCAGTTCCCTTACAAAGTCTAGTCTCCAAGCCTGTGACTTCTCACCAGCTGGTCCCTCACCCATGAGACCAGAAGTCCTCCAAGCCCTCATGACACTTGTCTCCTTGGGGCTCAGCCCCTCACTGACCCACACTTCTCCGCAAGCTCGGCCTGTCTTGCCTGGGCCCCGACTCCTGAGGGTGGTCTGCCCCCCAAGTCACTTCCCCTAACGTGCCTGCCCTCACAGCCCGGGTACCTCCATCCACCCCACCATGCTGTCTCTCTCACTTGTCCCCAGATGACCTTCTATTCCTGCAGAAGCCCCAAGTTCTCTGGAACGGGGAAACCCAGCCCTCTCTGCCTCCTCTAGACCCCCACCCCCACTTCACCTCAAAGGCGCCCTCTGAGCTGGGTCCTCTCGCCTCATCCTCTGACCCCCACAGAACCCAGACCCTTCAAAGCCCCCTGACCCCCAAAGATGCCTTGAAGTATGACAGCCCCAGTCACCCTCCCATCTCCCTCCAAGCCCCTGTCCTCCCAGAGGCCCTGGCTGTACGCTGAGCTTTTCCTCCCATGAAACCCCTCTTCCACGGACCCTCTCAACCTGCCTCCCCTTCTTCCCACCACCCTTATCTCCTCCAAGTCCTCCCTGCCTCTGCCCGGCCCTCTCTGAACCCCCTTCTCTCCCCAAAACTCTGTGTGCTCTGTGCCTGAGCCCTTCTCTGAACCCTTATCCTGGGACAGGTCCCACACCAACTCCAAGCTCCTCCCCTCGCCCCGCCCCCCACCCACCCTAGGGGAGCCTCATCCACAGCTGCTCAGGAACCCTCAGCAGTCAGCCTTGAAGGACGTTGATCAACACGGCGAGTGGGCGGGCTTCCCCAGCACAAGCCCCACCCCCACGCTGGCCACACCCTCCAAGGAGCCCAGGCCCAGGGCCCACAGCGTGGGGGTGGATGGCGCCTGCCTGCCCGCCCTGGAGCCAGGGTTCAGTTCTCCCACACCCAACGCCCACGGCCCCCTTCCCAAGGGCTTGGCTGGGGGCACCCGGACCCCCATCCCGGGGCTGAGCCTGACCCGAGGTGCCCGCCCAGCCTATGCGTGGCTCGTGTGCTGTACTGCCCGGTCTCCCTAGTGTCTGAGCTGGGCTTCCCCGGCCAGGCTCTGCCCAGGACTGTCTGGCGAGGGGTGTGCAGCGCTGGCCAATGGGGCAGCGGGGGAGAGGCACTGGTCACTGCGTGGACTCGGGCCCTTCTCTCGCAGACCACCGTGGGGCTGCCCTCTCCAAGGCCCCCAGGGCCCACCTCTGGAGGTGCACTAGCCCCCCGCATCCTCCCCCCGAGTGGGTGAGGAAAGGAACTGGACCTGGATCAGCTCCTGAGAGCTCAGCCCGAGGCTGGGTGTCCTCCAGGCTGGGGTGTGGGGCAGGAAACACCCCCCCACCCCGGCCCCGGGCCTGCTGGGCTGGTGCAGAGCAGGACCGAGCCAGCCAGGACCAGAGCCAGCGCTGCGCTGGCTCCTCCGGGCGCCCGGCCTGTCCGCAGTGAGGAGTGCCCTGTCATTACCCACCTTCCAGAGACAGACTGGAAGTTCAGGGTGGGGTCAGGGAGGCTGGGCCTGAGCCCAGGGCGGCCGGAGGGCCCAGCTCTGCACAGAGCATGAATGCCCCGATGCCCGGATTGGGGGCTGGGGGCACGGCCTGCACTAACCCACATAGTGTCCAGGGGTCCGGCTGTGCTCATCCCCACGTTCCAGAGCAGGGGTGGGAGCTGCCCTCGGGGGGACCTGAGGCTCCCAGCTGAGGGTCACAGTGCATGTGGAGCAGAGCAGGGGCTGTGAGGTGGGTCTCAGGGGGCGTGTGGCCATGAGCCGTGCCAATCTGGTGGTGGGAGCCTGATGGAGCGCAGAGTGGAGACAGCCTGGGGCAGTGGACAGGCCGGGAGGGGAGAGGGGACTGCCTCCTTCGGCCTCTTGCTGTACAAAGGCTACGATGACACTGTCTCCCCAGATAACCTGCCGGGCCCTGCGGAGCTCTGCCCACTCCCTCCACCATTCCAGGTGTGAGAACAGAGCACCTGGGCACGTGCTTACGTGCTTCCTCGCAATTCTGGTGGTGTTCTTTATAGCAGGCACCTGCTAAGGCTCAGTTCCGGGGCGCCGTCCCCAATGACAGCCACAGCCTTGCAGGCTGAAAAGGCACCAGGAGTTACAACTGTCATATCTGCCAAACCCCTACCCCTGCTGGGGGTGGGCTCCAAGGAAGAGTCCCAGAAGGAGTCCTGCCACGCCCCCCCCCCACCAGGTGTGCACAAACTCCTATCCATCCCTCAAAACCTCTGGCTGAACAGCTACACCTGAGCATATGCTCCTGATCCACAACCCGCAACGAGGCCAGGCCATGGGTGTGTGTGTGTCACTGTGGTCTGAGGGGGTTCCTAACTTGGGTCCTTGAACCCTGTGACCCCCAGGACCCCAGGGAGGCCTGCTCCAGCACTGGCTTAGCTTACACAGGGGCCGCTTCCGAAGCTGGCCACAAGGAAGCCCAGGTAGGGGGCAGGCTGCCCGCTTGCCACCAGCCCTGCACAGGCTTCCCTGCTAGGCCCACGTGGGGTGTGCGGGGGTTTGGGGAGCCCTGGAGCCCTGGGCTGGCGTCTCCTCCAAGGACAGGCACATTCTCCAGGAGTGTGGTGGCCACCTGAAGGCTGTGTCTGAGTGCAGGCGCTCACCAGAAGCCCGGCGGCCCCACCCTGCAGCCCCTGGCCCAGGCCACATCCTGCTGGTCACTGCTCCAGGCCGACACAAGCCATCCCCTAGCAGCCACGAGGCTGGGCAGCGTCCAGGGTCCCAGGCGAAGGGTGCCTCCAAAGCCCCCTCCAGCCCCACGCTGAGTCAGCCTCCGGTGCCAGCACTGCACCAGTGCCTTCCCCACATCTGGATTTAGAACCCCCCCGCCCCCCCACACACCACTGGGCACAAAACACGCCAACACAGAGAAAGAGGCCCCAACAACTATATTTCCATGTCAACTTTGGCTCCCCGCCGCTCAAGAGGGGGCAGCCACACAGAAGGCCGGTGCCAGCCCCCCTCCCCCAGGCCCACGGGCCCAGCCAATGACTTCCTGGATGGGGTCAAGCCCCAGGACGACCCCACAGGCCTCACAAGACTGGCTTTTGTCCCCTCCCACCCCTTCCTCACTGGGACAGACAAACGGACTGGGGGGGGGGGACGACGGAAGAACCGGGAGCAGTCTAGTGCAGAGCGGGGACTCAGTCCAGAGGTCTGGTGTGGGCAGCCAGGCCCCCCAGGGCACAGGCTGGGGCAGGAGCTACAGGGGGTGGGGGCGGGGATCCTGGGACCCACAGCTGACCAGCTGGCAAAGCCGAGCTGCGTCTTCTGAGTTAGTGAGAGCTCTGAGCCCTGAAGAGCCTGCTGGTTGCCCCCAGGCCTTGCCCCTCCATCGGACAGACAGACCGACAGACAGGCGGCACTCTGAAACCAGGGAGGAAAAAACCACAGAACAAAACAGTGGCCTCCAGGGAGCCAGGCTGTGAGCGTGCGAGTGTGAGCGTGCGAGTGTGAGTGTGTATGGTGGGGACAGCTCGGACGGCGGAGACACCCCTCATTCCTCTGCCAGAGGGCGGCCCGCTACAGCTTGCTGGCCTCGGCCAGGCCCACGCGGTTCTGGTCACGGTCGAACACGGTGTAGTAGCGGCCGATGAAGACGTCGCCCAGAATCCAGAGAGGCCCGCCAGGGGGCGGGATGTCCATGCCCATGAAGCCGCTCAGGCAGATGGTCTTCCCGCCTTGTGACACCTGCGACAGCCAGTGTTACCAGCCTGCCACCCCCCA